TATATATATATACTATAATTTTATCGATTATTATTTTTGGAAAGGGTTAAAAATATACATTTATAATAATTGGTCTTAGACAAAGCAAAGTTTCCAACATGCGATTAACTGGACTATTTTTGGAATCCAACAAAGTTGAAAATACAATCTTTTCCAAATCTTCAACATCTAGTAGTACGTTTTTTGAAGCTAGGTTTTTTACTGGAAGACAGCAAAAACGTTTTAGCTACGAGTAACTTTTTACGTTAGAAAACTATGAATTATAGTAAAAAACAACAAATGCCGTGGTTTGCACTCAATTTTAATATTAAAAATCTCTAAGCCTTCCTTGTCCTCGAATGTTACTATTGGTGTCCCTTACGTCACGACATCGTGAGATATCACGTGGCGAGTTAAACTACTTCGATACCTCAAATATAGTGGAAATAAAAATTAAAAAATCTAATATGAAGCTATTTCTGTATTGGAAAAAAACTGAATTTAAATATTGAAGATGACGTGTCATGACACGTGGACCGGTCAAATAGTTAAAACGTGGTAATCAGTTAGAAGGCATGAGCAACAACAGATGCGGGAGAGAAGATACTTAAAGGCACGAGCTATTATTCAAATGAAACGAGACTCGTACCTGTTCGAGTCATTTAAAGTTCGAAGATCAGAAGGAATTGGAGACATGAATCTGATAGCGAAAAAGAGTCCAAATTCAGCATTAAATGCCAAATACGTTAGAGAATTTGTATTTAATATGAATGATTGAGTAACGTTTCTTTCAATATCATTTATTGCTCGTAATTGCCTCATTAAAGCAAAGGCATTACACTTTCTCTTAAAAATTAACTATAAAAAGAGGAAGTCACAACATCTGTAAGGGACACGAAAAACACTACTGGAATATACTTTGTTTTATTTGCTTTCTGATTATATCATTCAAAATTTCTTTCTTATATACTTCTCCGATTATCAGTAACCCGAGTTCTTCTAAATTCGAACTTTAACCTAAAATCTAATTTTTGGTTAAACAAATTGGTTCCGTTACCGGGAATATGATAATCAAGCATATCTCAATATAATTTTCTTGATTGCATCAATCATGTCAAACAACAATGACAACACTCAAGGAAACCCAGAAATTCAGACAATCCAACAACTTCAGGGAGATTCCCCACAAGGTTCTCCACAAGGTTCTCCACGAGGCTCCTCGCGACGGTCCCGGGAAGGCACTCCTGATGGATCTCACACAGATGGTCAGGCTCAATTCGAAAATATTGAAACCATGAATGAGGCTCTGCAGAAACTTATTGCCTCTCAAGTCAATAACGCTCTTCAAGCTTTTGTTCGCCAATTACCTGTTGTCCCACCCACGTCAGCTCCAAACAACAACACTTTGGAGAATCCTCGTTCAGGATTGGTTAATTCAGGCAGCGGTGGAACCCCTAGTGAAACACATGAGAGAGACCCAGGTAATCCATTTAACTCTGATTTACAAAATCTAGTACTAACCTTGCAGAAATAGCTTAAGGAGCAAAATGAACACATAGAGCAAATACCTGGAGTACCGTCCGTGATCAAAGGAGTGGATATAGATAAATATTCCCAACAACCATGGAAGCCAAGTGCTGCTCCCCTCCCAATTCCAAAGAAGTTTAAGATGCCTGATATTCCAAAGTATGATGGTACATCAGACCCACGAGATCACGTTACTGCATTCACAACAGGTGTCAAGGGCAATGATTTGACTAAGCAAGAAATTGAGTCGGTCTTGGTTAAAAAATTCGGTGAAACACTCACTAAAGGAGCCTTAACATGGTATTCTCTTTTACCTGAAAATTCTATAAATTCGTTTGCTGAGCTTGCAGATTAATTTATCAAAGCACACTCGGGAGCTCAAAAAGTTGAAAAACGAATGGAAGATATCTTCAAAATCAAGCAAGGAGACTTAGAGTTGTTTAGAGAGTTCGTAGATAGATTTCAACGGGAAAGAATGACGCTGCCACGAGTACCTGACAATTGGGCAGCCATAGCCTTTGCTAGTAATTTGAATGAGAAGAGTTCAGAAGCCACGAGGCGACTCAAAGAAAGCCTTCGAGAATTCCCAGCAACAACGTGGTTAATCAAATGCTAGAGACCTATACAGCTAGGGAAGCAAGGATGCAGCAGTACTTAGAAAAGGTACGGGAACTGATAAAGCAATTCCAAACTTGGAAGGTCATACAGATATCGAGGGATGAAAATGTTGAAGCAGATGCCTTAGCTAATCTCGCATCCGCAGCTGATGTGGCAAAGGATGCAAATGCTGCAATTATACATTTATTTCACTCAGTTCTCGATCCAGATAAGAATGAAGTAAATTTAATAATTTAACTTGGGATTGGAGAAACGAAATTGTTGCTTTTTTGCAGTATGGTACCATCCCTAGTGACAAAAAGCAAGCACATGCACTTCGCAAAAAAGCTGCTCGTTACTGTTTAAAACAAGGGAATCTTTATCGTAAGATGTTCGGTGGTCCATTAGCAAGATGCCTCGAACCTTCTCAAACGGAATATGTAATGAGGAAAATACATGAGGGGCACTGCGGGAATCTCGCAGGAGGAAGATCATTGGTTAGAACTTTGATTAGAGCAGGATATTATTGGCCTAAAATGGAGAAAGAAGCAGAAAGTTTTGTAGCTAAATGTGATAAATGTCAAAGGTACGGTAACAACATGCATAGACCTGCGGAGTTGTTACATCCGGTCATATCACCATGGCCATTCATGAAGTGGGGAATGGATATCGTGGGTCCATTACCACAAGCAAAAGGACAGGTAAAATTTTTGCTCGTGCTTACTGATTACTTCACTAAATGGGTAGAGGCAGGAGCATTTAAACAGGTACGAGAAAAAGAGGTCAGAGACTTCATTTGGCGTAATATCATCTGCCGTTTTGGTGTACCAAAGGAGATTGTATGCGACAATGGCCCTCAATTTATCGGAGCTCAAGGCACTGAGTTTTTTGAGAGTTGGCAAATTAAAAGAATCACATCTACACCGTATCACCCAGTAGGCAATGGGCAAGCAGAATCAACGAACAAAGTCATAACCAACAATTTTTGAAGAAACGATTAGAGGAATCAAAGGGTAATTGGCCTGAAGTGTTACCCGGAGTTCTATGGGCATATCGCACGACAACAAAGACGAGCACAGGTGAAACTCCTTTCTCTTTAGTTTATGGAGCTGAAGCATTAATCCCAGTTGAAATAGGAGAACCGAGTACAAGATTCTCACAAGCAACACAAGAGTCTAATGATGAAGAGATGCGGTCAATTTGGATCTACTGGAAGGCAAGAGAGAAGCCGCATTAATAAGAATGGCAGCACAAAAGCAAGTGATCGAACGATATTACAACAGGAAAGCACGACTGAGATACTTCAAAACTGGGGACTTCGTGCTTAAAAAAGTTTTTCAATCTACAAAGGCGGCCAACGCGGGTAAACTAAGTCCAACCTGGGAAGGACCCTACAGAGTTCGAGATATTGCAGGAAAAGGAGCATACGAGTTAGAAACAATGGACGGGAAGGTGCTTCCATCGCATTGGAATGCAGTTAATTTGAAGAGATACTACTTCTAAGAAAAAACCCACGGTCAGGTATCACCATGTTAAATTATATTTTTTGAATTGTTAAAATTTTACTAACGATTTTAGATGATAGGTAAAACGTTAACCCGTACTAAATAATGAGTCACGACCTGTAAGGCAAAATGGAGTAAACTAAAATTCCTAGCCTAGGGTTACAATTATTCTGATAGAAGTATACACGGGTTAAGCAGTCTTCATCTATAATTGCACCCCGAGTCCCGTATGTATTTCCTTTTCAGGAAAAGGACAAGGTGAAGGAGACTATCAAGTGCTCGAGGCTTCATACTTCAACACACAAACACTTGGGGGACTACATAGTATATACATTTACGTGTATCAAAAAGGCATAGAAGATTTAGAAAATCAAGCCTAGAAGAATCAAGTACGAAGTGAAAGTTACGAAGTCATGGCATTCATCATAGTATTCTTTCCTGTAAGAACAATGGAGTCATTTCTCAACTATGTACTAAAACGGGTTATAAGGAAAAACCCCGTATCTATTGTTCTTCTTTTGTATAAATCTGTTACAAGGAAAACAGTTGCGAGAAAGTTATAGATGTAATTCAAATACATGTAAAGTATTACTCAAAACTTGTCAAAGTTCAGAAATAAACTTGTCAAAGTTATTACAAAAAACATGTGTGTTCCTATTTCTTTTATCGTATGATTACACCATTA